GAGGGAGAGGGGAATTACATGTGAAACAAGCCTGTTCCCTAACTTGAATTAATAATAATAAAAAGAGAGAGAGAAAAAAAAAAGAATTGAGACCAAGGATGGATTGTCTTTCAAGGTAGGTCAATCATTCACAACGTTTTGTGGCATCCTTGTCACACGACAGTCACTACTTTAGGCATGATGACATAAATCAGAAAACAGGCAGTCAACGTCCCTGTTACATGCAGCTTAACTGGTTGACAAGAAGCACACATAATAAACAAGACACATGGAGAGTGTGCAGAGTAGATGCTTTGTGCTGGGAGAGCAGCAGAGCGGAGGACAGGAGGTCACCAGTGAAGAGTCACAGGGACAGACTGATCTATGACACAGTGCTGTTGGAGTGGCTCTTAGTGGAAATGGGGATATCACTGAAGACTTCTCAGAGGCAGAGGGAATTAGCTGTGTGAGAACATTCCATGAAACAGTAACTAGCAGGAAGATTTTTGACAAATTCAAAGTGCCAGAGTGAGCAAAAGGTGGCATGGTGGGCAAGAAGGACACAGAAAATCTTCGATGAACCTTACAGGATCACCTTTAGGTCACAGTTAGCCTGTTTTCACTCTGACTGAAGGGGGACTGCAACAATAAATCTTTCCACCAGCCACCGGAGTTCCGCCCGCTACCACATTAGGGTCCCAAGTAACACAGAGAGACTTGCATTAGTTACAATGCTGCTGGCCAATGACTATGATTTCTTATATGCTTGCTCTGTCTTAAGGATCAACCATAGCCATTAATCTATATATTTATAAACTTATCTTATGGAGGACGCCCCTGGACACCAGGGGCACGTGTCCTCTTCCCAGGATCACGTGGCAGCTCCACAGAGAAGAGAGGAGAAGGAAGAGCACAATTTCCTGCTTGTCCCTGCTTATATTCTGAGTCTGCCTGATATGTCACTTCATGCCTGGATCACAAGACTTCTCTTTACTAGATTTCCCAGAATCCTCCTCGACTCCTAGTCCCACCTATCTTGCTTCCCTATTGGTCAACAATACTTTATTTATAACCAATAAGACAAACGTATACACAGAAGGACCTCTGCCATCAGGGGATCTGAGGGTTTGCCTTTCAGCTATCTAAGTAGATATGTCAAATTGGCAATTGAGTATCTGTTGTCTGCAGAGTGGTCAGAGGTAGAAATGCAATGTGGGGAGTACTCAGTGTATACACCATAGGCTGAGTCATGAAACATGATGGTATTTTAGAAGGGTTAACTGAAGATAAAGTAGGGTAAGAGCTTCACCCAGAGGCAATCCCCATCAAGGGAATGAATCAGGTGATCAATGGTGACATTCCCAGGGAGTGGGAGCATCTGCCTGTGGAAAGAGATGGCTAGATAGACAAAAGGCTTTGACTTCATGCATGTTATAGCAGAAGTGTATTTTCAAAATTTGGATGCCTCTCAATTCTGTGCTGTCAAATGTTTAGCCGTCGACATTGTAAGGAAAAGAGTAAGCCTTGTGTTTGCCAATTTACCCTGGTGTAAATACTCCATCATGGCCAATTTTGAACTGGAATATGGAAGCTAAATTCACTTAGTAGTAGCTGAAAACACATCAGTCAATGCAAAACTTTTGAAATATATTTTGGGGATTCATTTCAAGGGTGGCACAATTGAAACCATGGGAAAGGATGACATCTTTAAGGACTGTACAATGATAAAGAGGATGAAAGAAAAGGCAGGATTTAGATGAATGCCCTACTATAAGACCAAGAACATCCCCAAGTTGAAAGGGGAAAGTAAGACTGAAGAGGTAGTTCCATGGTAGAGCACTTACTTAGCACTTTTGAGGCAATGGGTTTCATCCACACTACTGAAAAAAAGTTGAATATATGGGACAATAAAATTGAAAAACAAAAAACTAAAAATAAGATATTAAATAGCAGAACAGTTTTCAAGCATTTCTAGCTGCATTTTGTTACTGTGGTCAAGTATCTCTTTCCTTCTTTCTGTGTGTTCCTGTGATACAAAAGTAAGTCGGGAGCAGGGAGAGCTTTTCTTTACATCCTTTTACAGAATGGGCTCAATGAATTGTTCATAAACCTATTTGAGGATTTCAGTTTGACCTTGAACTTCATTAAAAGTAATTTACTTCAGCTTCCCTTAAAATAAAATATCATCTTGTCTATGTGACCAACATGTGTGGTGATGATTAGTTTGGGTTGTCAACTTGACAGAATCAAGAATAACCTAGAAGACAGACCTGCAGTTGTTTCTGGGATGGGTCTTCTAGATTCTGTTGACTGAGGTTGGGAATCCCCGGTGACTGTGGACAGCACCATCCCATGGGTGGAGGTCCTACACTGATCAAAATGAAGAAGTGGCTGAGCACCACCCTCATCTCTTTATCCTTCCTCAAGTGTGGCACAGTGTGTCCTGTCACTCTGGTTTCCGTGTCTTGTCTGTCTTGATGGGCTTAAAGTGTGAGCCAAGGCCAAGACTTCAGTAGCTCTTGTCAGGAGTTTTGCTAATGTGTCGAGAAAATAAATGGATACACGTGCTGTTTGGCTTTACAGATGGTCACAGTGGCTTCTCAGATGTGTTTTAGTTTGCTTGCTTTTTGATTCAGCTGTCACCTGGCAGAAGTCTGAAAGATAGTTATGCTGGTCAATACTGTTGAAAAGTCCATTTATCACTGATATACTTAGATGAGCTGCTTTTTCGATACGACTTCATTGATGAAGAGTAGAAAAAAAAGAATATAATTTTTGTTTGTTTTTCTTTAGTTTGATTTGAGGTTTGCTGTTTTTCTTGTCAGTCTTGAGACAGGTCTTAATCTACAGCCCAAGGTGGCCTGATGTTTGCTATACAGTGGAACCTGGCTTTGAATTTTTGGAAATCCTTTTGCATCTGCCTCCAGAGTGCTCGATATTCAACACCACACCTGAAGAGTCTATTTTCAAGTATTAATTCTTAATTCTCTAAAAGCAACCCATGTTACAATAACCAGACATGGGGCACAGCATTCAGAATGATGTGATTTTTAATAAACCCCACTTAACTGTGAGATGTCACACATACATGGGAATAATATTTTTTTAATTTTATAGGACAGTCTTATTATTTCACAAATGTATTCTTTTTATCAAATTAAGAATTATGCTGTTGTTTTCAATTTCACTTAAAAATATGTAAACACTGTTAGCAGATTTGGATTCCACACACAGTGTCTGCTGGATGGTGTGAAGAAGCCCATCTAAATATAAAAATTCTGAAAACAAATTCTCCACAAACCCTACCCACATGCACTTTGGGTCTATGCTGTTAGGATAGCTGACTGCTTGCTCTTCCTAGCCCTCAGTTTAGGACTAAGTGCTCTCCACAGTTGCCATAGAATCATGGGCTGTAAACCAGTGCTCATTCTGAACATCAAAGAGGCTCCAAATCCAAGGATGCTCTGCTCTTGGGGTGTCAAAATTATGACTTGAAAAAAGCTGTTACATTTTTTCCCTAAGTAAAAATCATGTTGAAGTCAGTGAGCCTCTTCCAGGAGGCATAGCTCCAGCCCAGTGTTGGGGGACCTCGTGCAATCTCCCCTCGGGCCCATATATGAAATGAGGACAATACGGAGACTTATGCGTTCACATAATTGATCCACTTTCATCCACATAAAGGGATGAAAAAGTCTCAGGTTATTAACAGTTCGGTGCTTTTACAGCTCCCACCTACCACCCACTTACTGCTTTCAGATTTCCCCTAATTGAATTACCAAGAGCGCACCAGGTGACCTTAGTTGTCCAAGAGCTATTTATCACATTTGTTTTAAATGAATTACATTTAAAAAAAAAGAAAATATTCACTCCATCCATTCCCCCTTTTGTGGTAATTATATCCTCCGTGCTCTAATGTTCTTGTGACTTTTATTTTCAAGAAACAACTATTAACTTTCACACAGTCAGTGACCTTGTTTGGATGACTCTGCCCTATCTGATGACCTTGAAGCAAAAAATTGTAGAAGCTTCAATTGGCAAGTTCGCCAGCATCTAGTAAAGAATGAAGAGGCTAAGAGCTCTTCATTTCTCAGCATTGGCATTCATCATGGAAAGACATATAAAAAGAAAGGGCAAATTCCAATGACATGCATCCAATAAATCGGAGCCTCTTGTCACAGTGACCGCCATTCAGCTTGTTTCTAATCACAATGCGTAATGTGCCCACATTACTTACATCTTAACCCCCTGAACATGGGCTTTTATGACAGATTCCTTGCTATGTATCTTTAAATGTCCTCAGTTTTCTCTACTACAGGATTTTCTCTGCCTGTTAGATGACATCTTGGATATTAGTAGCACTTTGTTTTTGCAATGGCGTCTGATGAATAATCAGAGATGGAGAAATTCAGAAAGGCC